TGAACCCAGAGTCAGACTCTACAGGATCACACTTCAGTCTTAACCCTGTGCTGCAGCTGCTGAGCTTTACAGACCAAACACACACAGTTCCATCCAGATAGAACTATAATTAGTGTCAAAGGAACTCTGACTTAAACATCAATGTATTTTGATGCAGGTTTTCATAAAAGCCTTAAAGAAGCTATACTCAAATTGTTTTCTATTGAGTTCATAAACTCATAACGGGGGGCGACAGTGGCTCAGTTGTTAGAGCATTGGACTGTGGGCCTGAAGGTCATGGGTTCGAGCCCACCGCAAGACCTACTTCGACTCCCACTGATGACGAGTTATAGCAGAATTGGCTATAACTTGTCTTGCTGTAACTGCATACAAAGCAAAACACCCCAAACGGCGCTACAGTGAGGAAGAAAAGAGGGAACTAAAGCGAAAAAATTACCAAAGAAGAAATCAAGCCCGGGTGAATACATGTAGCGTTAGCTTACATCGTATCCTCTGGAGCAGAAACCTGCGGGTCTCTGCGCCTCGGACTACATTCGGATGCGAAACTAATGGTAATCTTTCAGTTATATATATGTTTTACAGTGCTTACAATAAACTGCACTGATGCTAATGTTTGTATCAGATTGCAAATAAAACTAGATGGCTCCGTGGTATGAGAGCGTAGGGGAAATGAGAGACCTGTGAGCGAGTTGAGGGGCGGTGCTAAACATTAAAAATGGGTATAGCTCGAACGAACTCTACACATGTTCTTAAACAAGTAGAAGACATTGGGTATGAGCCTGATTCTCTGCTTGTTACTCTGAGAGGCTTGTTGGGTCAGAGACTCTTCACCAACATTATTCTCTTCCAGGACAAACACTACAGACAAATCAAAGAAACAGCTATGAGAGCAGCCTATGCCCCCAACTGTGGCGCCCTGAACCTGGGTCTGTGGGAACAGCATATACAGTGGGGCAAAAAAGTATTTAGTCAGCCACCGATTGTTCAAGTTCTCCCAATTAAAATAATGACAGAGGTCTGTAATTTTCATCATAGGTACACTTCAACTGTGAGACAGAATGTGAAAAAAAAAAAAAATCCAAGAATTCACATTGTAGGATTTTTAAAGAATTTATTAAAACTCTCACAAAATGCCACAAATGTGAGTACTTTTTTGTATGTGGTATCTGTCTTGTCAATGTATACTGTGGTGTCTTTATATGTATCGTATCCTCCCTTCATTCAACTTTGTATTATCCAATAGTGTTCCTTTTATGTCATGTGACGAGTCCAGTGGACGATATTAGTCTATTTTAACACCTGTCAAATCAATGTTTTTAATACTGTCCTGAAGAAGGCCCTGCATGGCCGAAACGCGTTGGTCCCTTCTCCAATTAAAGGACTTTTTATCAGTGCCTCGGATTTCACCCTGTTTTTCTTTGTTTTGCAATACCGAGGGTGTGGTTGATTTTAAAAACCCAAGGGTCACAATCAAATTACAGTATAAAAGGGACACGGGTAAGTATCTGACAGGCGTGAATAAAAGTTTTAAATGTTTTGATAAAAGGCAAGATCCTGCTAAAAAAATAAATTAGACAAACTAAGATTAGAAAAGGTCAATTTATTTAACAAATTACACTTAGTACAGTAACATTTAATCAAAGCTATTAAAATAGTTGAGCTGAATCTAAAGGCCGAAATGCTAAAAATGTAAATGCCAAAACAAAAAGGGAGCTAGCTGGGGCCACTGGTGGTGAGCATGCTACTCTGGGAGGTGCCCAGGGGTGCTACACAGAATACTCACCTCAGTGGACACAGCAAATGAAAGGTGCAAACTAACTCGTGAACCAAGTGCACTAAATCACATGCAAAGGTGGGGGACCACACCAATGTGCCTAGCCCAGCCACCAGGGGGCGCCCAGTGACCCTAAAAGAAAAAGTAGAAATTGTTAAAAACCAATAGGTTGTCAAAACCAGTTGGTTTTGACAACCTGTTCTCTGCAAAAATAAAAGTATATCAAAATATGTAATAAAAAAAATGAACAAAGAAAATAAAAATAACAAAAGTATAAGCAAAGAACAAACTAAACTAGAACAAAGTAAATAGCACAATAGCCAAAGCAAAACCGCAATAACACAACTAAAACAGCAAAAACAAAACAAATATCAAAACCGATAAAACAAAGCAGTAGCAGGGTAGTCACCCTTGACGGTTTGGAACCAGACACGGACTGTTTCCTGCAGCGGTGCATTTATTGGGTCCACAGATTGCGCAAAAACACGCATGGTCCTATGCGCGTTTATACATACATTTAGTACATGGTCACGTTGCGGCTACGCACTCACCGTGTTGTGTTGTGAGCGGTTCCTGCGCCGCTGGACGCTGGAACCGCTCAATACAAAGCGGCCGCAGGGGAGCCGGAGCACTGCGGCCGCTGAGGTGGTGGAGTCCCGTTCGAGAAAAAAACAATTGACTCATTAGTCCTTTAGACCCTAATTTAGGGTACATTTAATCTTTTTCTGCACACCAACAGAGCGTTCTCCTCAGTTATTTATTTAAAAAAAAATAATGAACTTTGTACAGAGGGACGGAAACACAACAGACTGGGACCAACTCTGGCCTCACAGGTCTGACCCCTAGGCAGTACTCCCTCTGCCCTCCCCCTCACTTCCTCTTGGGGCAGTACTCCCTTGGTCGGCACTAGATCATATACAAAATCGGGACGGAAGCAGAAGTAAATATAACCAACTACCTATTCTTGCCTAAACTAAACCAGCCATTCCCCTAGAATAACCCCAACCCACCCTTAACCCTAACCTTAACCATCTTACTCAGACGCCTAAACTTAACCAGTCACCACTTAAGAACTTATTTGTCTAAAAGTAATTTGAAAGTAGGATTGTTACTTCCGCTTTCGTCCTGATTCCGTATATGATCTATACCCGACCGTACTCCCTCCCTCCCCTCCCTCACTTCTTCTTGGGGCAGTACTCCCTTCGTCCGCCTCCCCCTCCCTCCCTGTTGAAAGTTCGGACTCTGTGGATCCTCTGGAGCTGGGTCTGGATGGTCTGCAGGACGTCCATGTGGTCAGGGATGTGGACGAACCTGACACACAAGAGTATTAGTCACAGGGAGCTCTGACTGTATATGCTGCTCCCTCTGGTGGCAGCAGAGGGAGCAGCGTCACAGGGAGCTCTGACTGTATACACTGCTCCCTCTGGTGGC